TTAAAACTCAAAGATAAAGATGCAAATCATGATGATACGTTTTCTTTTATCACAAAATCACAACAAGGTGAACACATCCGGTTAAAAGAAATACAACTGATTACATTTGCATTAAAAATAAATTCAAATTAATCTTCAATTAAAATTAAAATGCAACTAAATACAAAAGTCATTTTTATACAGTTAAACTAAAAACTCACACTGGATATTTTCTTAGGAATATTGTTTTAATTGTTTGTTGCTCAATATCACTTTCCACTGTGTTTTTTAAATTCCCTTCAACAAAGTAAGTGACCTTTTTGTGGTGCAGAAAATGTATATGATTTATTTTATATATATACACACACATATATATAAATTCTATTTTTCTATTCTATCTACTTGTTTTTCTTTGTGTGTGTTTGTGTGTGTATAATATATATATATATATATATATAATATATATATATATATATGTGTACACACACACACATATATAATGTACACAAATTAAAACATTTATTGTACCTCCATCAGATAAAAAGACGGAAGAAAAATATAAGGTGGAAGACAGGAGAGAGCTGCAGACCTGAAGAGGAGGAGGAGAGGAGGAGTGGTGCAGTGTGGCGGAAATAAAACAGCAATGGGAGGATGACGACAGGCTGAGGAATGAAGTGAGAGACCATGACAGCACACACACACACACACACACCGCCTGAAAGAATTTAATGCCAACATAAAGCTCTTGCTGTTTGCAGATGATCTGGTTCTGCTGTCTCCAACAGAAGAGGGTCTACAGCAGAGCCTAGACATCCTGCACAAGTTCTGTCAGACCTGGGCCCTGACGATTAACCCTAACAAAACTAAAGTACTAACATTCCAGAAAAGACCCAGAGTTCAGGGAGAGAGACATAACTTCACCCTTGGTGTGACCAAAATTGAAAATGTCACAAACTACACATACCTCGGGCTGAAGATAAATGCCACTGGCAAGCTAAATTTGGCTGTGAATGAACTGAAAGAGAAAGCAAGAAGGGCCTTTTATGCCATCAAAAAATGGCTCAAAATATTTAAATCAGTCATAGAACCTATTGCAATATATAGCAGTGAAGAAAGAGGGAGGAGTCAACAAATCAGTGATGTGCCCACACACACACAAACACGCACATGCACACACAAACACGCACACGCACACACACAAACAAGCTCCTGACACACAGAGAGAGAGAGAGAGAGACAGAGAGAGAGAGAGAGAGAGAGAGAGAGAGACAGAGAGACAGAGAGAGTGTGCATATACAGTTTGGATTGTCTGCAATAGAGAAAGAAAGATAGGTGAATTGTTACCTTCATTCAGCAGATCATAACTCAGAACACTTTACGCTACACTGCATCTAAATGCAAATATACAACCATTATTATTATTATTATTAATAAAACAGTTTGTATAGATCTACAGAGGTGAAAAATGAATGAATGGTTTTAATACTTTTCCACTGGGTGAAAGTAATTATTGCAGACCGAAAGTTGCATTTTGCAAACATGTTAATAAGATCAACACTGAACTCCAGAATTGTCTTCAGCGTCACACGATCCTTCAGAAATCATTCTAATATGCTGCTCGAGAAACATTTCCGATTATTATTATTATTATCAGTGTTGAAAACAGTTGTGCTGCTTCATATTTTTGTGAAAACGGTGAATTTTTTTCAGCATTTATTCGAAAAACTAAATCTTTTGTAACATTATAAATGACTTTATAGTCACTTTTGATCAATTGATTGATCAATTGAATTAATTTCTTTAAAAAATGTATTTGCAGACCCCAGATGGTAGTGTAGTTTTATTATTTTATAAAAATTTTTTACACAATGATAATAGAACGCTACAGTGGAGAGGATGAATTATTTATTCTTTAAATGAAATGAAAGCCAAACAGCAGCACTGATAAAGGTCCAATGAATCTTTTATTTGTAAGGCACCATAAATACTTCCTTACTGCTCAATCTCTCATAGTAAATGTTTTAACCTTTTTTCTTCCCACAATCATCTTTAAATGAAGTTAGAATAGCACAAACAACATACATTTCCATCAAGAACATCATGTTACATACAACACACACGCACATTTTAAAAAACTACTACAAAGCTTCAAAATGTGGCAAATATCAGAACTGTCAGAAGAGGGAGGCTTCAGGAATCGTTACGTAACAAACTTGTCTTTTTCAGCTGATGTTTATGAGACTGAGACCAAGTCAGAACCACTGAACAAATCATGTATCCTTCAGCAACTAGAACCAGTCGAGACCAGCCAGTGCTACGCTCATCTAAACAAAGCAGAGCGGAAATGTTTGATTTGACAATTAACTGATCATAGATTTCTGTATAGCCTGCGCTAAATGTCCTCTGGGCCACATACACCATAAACATAGCTGTATACATACAAAATTGTTTACAAAATTAAATGTATATTGATATATTTATACATGATGTATATAAATTGGCCGACAGTTTTTGAAATCAAGCAAAATCAACTGGAAAAAAATATCTAGAGAGTAAAAACCAGAAAACGTAATTTATTAGAGATTAAAATAAGAACCCAAGGGCTCAGCGGTGAGCGTTTCTTAGCATACATCAGCACTGCTGTACTGAAAAACAAAAAAATACTAAGAAATCATGGGACAAATGCTAATACTTCCTAGACACATACAAGAAATAAATGTCCAGGAATGCACACTCATAAAATACCCACAATGCACCAGTGCATATGTACAACCTTAGGTAGTCTTGTCTTTAAAACAGCCTGGAATACTAGCATACTAAATACTGAGCAGTATATACTGTGTGCTGCTTTGGGTTTAATTCAGCAAGTAGCGTCCATGTAAAATAAAACTGCTTTAGTAAATTATGACAGCTACTTTTATATTAAGAACAATTGTGAGCACTGATCATTTGTTAACATTAGTTAACTATATTAGTTAACATGAACAACTCTTATTATTTGTATACATCATTCAAATCAAAAGTTCTATCTGTTAACTTGAACATTTTTATTCGCTAACATTATCAAAGGTTAATAAGTGTGTTAAAAATCCGTTGTTAGTTCATGGTACTTAATGCATTACCTAATGTTAACAAAGGAGACCTTATTGTAAAGTGTGATTTTAGAAATGTCAACTTCAATTAAACAAATATTTAATTACTGTATTTTTTATTTGATTATTTATTATTACATTAGAAATACATTTCAGGTTTTGCATTTTAGTGTACAGTTTCATTATTTTAATATTTATAAATGCTTTTTAGTCATCTTGAGCAAGTCATCTTTTGAGTCACTAATAATAACTGAACTTTAGTATCAACTGAAATGCTAAAAACACACCAAAGGTTAAGACTGAAATCTAGTGAAAACCACTGCTGTAGTAGGAATAGTATGATAGTATGCCATTTCAAATACCCTAATACTTCTGCACACACTCATTGGCTGCCACCTGCTGGTCTCACATGAAACCACATTCACTGCAAACCAGAATGAGAGAAACAACCTGCCTTTTACACAGAAATGATAGGAGGATGTGGGTCTGAATTGGGAATATCTCTTGGTGTCTGTCACTTTCCTACACAGATGCTTGGGCTGTGTGTCACTTCAACCTTTCTGAGGGCAATATAGATTGAGTGTCACCTTTTTATGTAAAACACTAGAAAGAATTCTGTGAAAGGGTCACTACAGTGTTAAAACCCTTAACTAGATATGCCTAGAATAGAATATGATGAAATATATTGAATAGTAGCTAAGAGAGGAATCGACTGCAGGCTTATCTGACATAAACACAACATCGACTGGCCAACTCAAACACACACAAGCAACATCACAATCAAGTGCTCGGCTGTTCCAGGTGGTTGCCAAGGCATTGCTATGGTTGCTAGGGTGTTCTATTGTTTTAGCAGGTTGCCATGTCACTACTAGAATGTTCTGGGTGGTTGCCAGGGTGTTGTTCTGTGGTTGCTAAAGTGTTTTGAATGGTGCATTGCTAGGCAAACGCTAGGGTGTTTGTTTTGGTTGCTGCCGTTGCGATTTCTAAGTTGTTCTAAATGGTTGTTTCGCGCACTGCTGTGTTTGAGGTGGTTACCAGGGTGGATATGCAGTTGCTAGGGTGTTACCAGGTGCTTGCTAGGCCATTCTGGATAGTTGCCAAGGTGTATGCGTGTTCTTGGTGGCTGATGTTCAGAATGTTTTGAGCATGTCGCTTTGCCGCATATGCGTTTGGGGCAGTTGCTAGGGTGCTCTGAATGTTTTTAGCATGTTGCTATGTCACTACTTGAGTGTTCTGGGTGGTTGTCAGGATTTCGCTTTGTGGTTGTTACAAAACTCTGAATGTTTGTTAGTGCATTGCTATGCAAATGCTAGGCTGTTGCTATGCGGCTTCTAAACTGTTCTAAACTGAGTGGTTGACGTTATTGCCAGGCCAATTATTAATGCTACTGTTGCTACAGTTGCTAGGGTGTTATCAGGTGCTTGCTAGGCCAATCTGGGTGGTTGCCAAGGCATCGCTATGTGATTTCAAGATGCTATCCCACTACTAGAGTGTTCTGGGTGGTTGCTAGTCTGTTGCTGTGCAACTGACTGTTGTTTGCACATATGTGTTTGGGGTAGTTGCCAGGGCAGTTATGCAGTTGCTAGGGTGTTGCTATGTGGTTGCTAGGGACTGAAGAGTTGTTAATGCACTATGCAAATACTATTTGATTGGTTGATTGGCATTTGATTGGTTGCTAGGGCGTTGATGTGCTATTGCCAAATTGTTTTAAGTGGTTGTTTGTGCATGTGTGTTTAGAATGGTTGCCAGGGCAGTTATGCAGTTGCTAGGGTGTTACTGGGTGGTCGCCATGGTGTTGTGAATGGTTGTTTGTGCATTACTATGCAAACTCTAGGCCATTTTGATTCGTTGCTAGGCTGTTGCTATCCAGTTGCTAAGCTGTTCTGGGGTGCGTTTCCCAAAAGCAAATATGGTCGCAAGTTCCGTCGTTACCAATAGATTTCAATGGAACTAACTACCATAGTTAGCGAACGATGCTTTTGGGAAACGCACCCGAGTGGTTGTTTGCGCATGTGTTTGGGGTGGTTGCCAGGACAACTACATGTTACTAGGTTGTTGCTAGAGCATTGGGTGACTCATAAGTGGATGACGCATCATGAAGTCTCTATTATATTCAGGTCTCTGGATACGGTTTGGGTCTCTCTGTCAATATCTATGGGATTTTTTCATCCATTTATTGACTGCCAGGAAAAATCAAAAGTCACTTACAGTAATAATACAGCTCTCCTCAAGACACACAATTTGAGGTATGTTACATGCTGAAGTTTAATACTTAGGGTTAGGGGTTTGTTCAAATCACTAACCCCAAGTATGAGCAATAGTAATAGAGCCTTAGCAAACATCACTAATCAAAAGAAAATGAATCAAACAGAATTACGGAATAAAGATTTGCAGTATTAACAGAGAGAGAGAGAGACTGAATCAGACCCAATCCTGTGAGACAGAAGGAGTAGATTCAGCAATCTCTTCTCTCTTTCTGCACTCGGTCTCTCTTTACAGACCTCATGACAGAATCAAACTATCTCTATGAAGGCTAGTCGGATTTGTCCGCGTCCTCCTCGCGGTGGCCATCGGCCCCGTCGCGGGAGCTCTTGTCCTCCTTGGCCAGGTGCGCATGTGATGCGAGGATGCTGGACAGCGACAGGAGGCCAGAGTTGGAGGTGACGGTGGGCAGGGTGGACGGAGTCAGGCCCAGGGGCAGAGGGGTCATGGGTAACGCCAAACCCTGAAGCTGAGAGAGCTGGTGAACCTGAAGCTGCTGCTGCGTTTACACACACACACACAAACAAACAAACATCCATGGAGGTTAAAGAGAGATCACATATAACTTTCATGCGACTTGACTTGCACGTGCAGTCTTTTTGAAGTTTAATGACAAAGCCACATAACATTTAATTATGCTGATATGACAGACTATTTTGCAGGATAAATGTTCTTTAATGTGGTTTGTTTGAAACATTTGAATGAATCATGCAAACTTGAATCTATGACTGAAAGATTTGCTTGAGTCAAAAAATATTCATGGAAATTTAAATATATATTTTAGGCCCTACACAGTAACACATGAAGTTGACCATTGTGAAGTTCCTACCCGAATAATCGAGTTCATCTCAGGAGGGGTGACCTGTTTGGCTCGCTCAATCGCTCCCAGGACCTGCTGCTGGTGCTACCCACACACCCACACACACACACACACACACACATTTATCTCAGCATGCATTTAATCTCTTCAGGTAAAAGGAACAATGAACAAAACCCAACAAAAGCCTATTCTGTCCATAAAAGCAACCCATGACACAAAGCAGCGGCACATTTATGTCACCGATGAGGCTGAGGGTCATTATAGAGAATGTGTCATAAATAAATCACACAGTCTGACCTCTTGAGACAGGTAAGGCAACACCTGAGCACAGATTCCATTCAATCTCTTCACAATCTCCGCCTGCGGACAGAACACAAGCACATCTCATGGGTTTACATCCATTAATAGGGTAGCTGGGGATGCGCTTACAGGCTGCTGATGTTGCACAAAAACACATGAACAACACAGTCAGTCATGATAATGTATGCTGACCAACCGTGTTTGATGAAAGACGCTACTGAATCTAGGACGCTGCATATGTACAAACCATATAAATAGACCTGTGGTTTAAAGGAAACTGCAGATTTTACACACCTATACAATCTAAAGATCTACATATCCTCCTGCCATATTTATTTATTAAATATTTTGACAAATAGAATAATGCATTAACTTGCCCCCACATTTGATGCAGAAAATAGGCAAAGTGTGTAGATTCTGACACAATATTCAGCTTCTCACCTGTTTGTGCATTTCAATGTTGAGTCCGTATGACATCTCATAATACTGCAGTCAGAGAAACAGGAGAGAGAAGCGCAAGATCGATCAAAAATCTCAGGACAAAAAATTACACTTCAAAATATATATTAAAATAGAAAATGGTTATTTGAAACTGCAATAATATTTCACTATTTTTACCGTATATTTAAATTTTTTATCCACATATAACATATGATAGCTGCACATTTAATCATTCACATTTTTGGGGCATTTGGGACAAACTGGGACATCTCAAAATGTCAAAAAATTCACCTGAATCCACCCAATATGTGTCACAAAGAGGAAATAAAAACAAGTGTAGAGAGAAGGCAGCAATAACAGCAGAGAATTGGCAGTCAAAATCTTTATATATTCAAAAAACCCATAGAAAATTTCTCTTCAAGCAAAAGAGGTGAAGGAGAAGACATCAATTTAACATCAGTTTTCATGAAACTTCAGAGCGACCCGACTGTGATTTAGGCTCATGGTTAGGAGCTTTGCTCTGGGCTAAAGCAGCAGATCACTCAGATCTCTGCCGTCCCGCTCAGACACACATTCACATCGATCCGTCAGCAAGACGTCAATACGCTTGTGCACACTCACAACCCATCATACAACTGATCAATGAGACGCTTGTGTATGAATTACTGCGGATGCCCACAGGCTTACAGACAAAATCAAAAACATTCAATCACACATACACAACATATTTATATAAGAACTAAAGCCAAAACAAAACAAAAATGTAAGAAATGCACATATAAGAACTAATAAGAAACTATAAAAAGAAATAGCACAATTCTATTTCTATATAAACAGAGTTTATATCCCTCTAAGCCAGAATTGTGCAATAAAAAGTTGCAATTATTATTTTTTATACTGTGGTGGGAACAGCTTCCATATGATCTGCGTATATAACTAGGTCTGATGAAACATGCATGCTTTACTCACCATTATGTAATGACGCTGCATTTCAGATTTCTCACTCGCCAGTTTATCACATTCCAACTTCAGACTGAAAAATACAAGACAGCATGAGATGTATTACTCATTTCTTGTTAAATGTTGCAAATTACATGATGCCTCTTTAAGTAATGGAAACGTGGAGAAGTTCCCAGGGTTTGAATGGCACAGCCTGTATATGACAGCTTTAATATTTACATTTCACCCTAAAACACACACACACACACACACACACACACACTTCATTGAGGCTGTCAGCTGCACTTCACCTCACTTTCTCTCTCTCACTCGCAAAGTGGGGAAAAAAAACAAGGAGAATTCTACAACATTCTATCACCATGACAACCCCTTTCCTGTCTGGACTGCCTGACGGAGGCTTGTGATTGGCTGGCCATGTCTTTAGAAGAATGTAATAATGAAAGAATGTATGATTTTCTCCTTCATATACAACTTTTTATATTAAATAGTTTGTTGCACATACATTACCATCTAAAAGTTTGGGGTTGGCAAGATTTTTTTTGTTTTTGTTTTTGAAAGAAGTCTTTTGTGATCACCAAGGCTGCATTTATTTGCACAGTAAAAAATATTGTGAAATATTACGGTTAAATGTTGCAAATTACATGATGCCTCTTTAAGTAATGGAAACGTGGAGAAGTTCCCAGGGTTTGAATGACACAGCCTGTATATGACAGCTTTAATATTTACATTTCACCCTAAAACACACACACACACACACACACACACACACTTCATTGAGGCTGTCAGCTGCACTTCACCTCACTTTCTCTCTCTCACTCGCAAAGTGGGGAAAAAAAACAAGGAGAATTCTACAACATTCTATCACCATGACAACCCCTTTCCTGTCTGGACTGCCTGACGGAGGCTTGTGATTGGCTGGCCATGTCTTTAGAAGAATGTAATAATGAAAGAATGTATGATTTTCTCCTTCATATACAACTTTTTATATTAAATAGTTTGTTGCACATACATTACCATCTAAAAGTTTGGGGTTGGCAAGATTTTTTTTGTTTTTGTTTTTGAAAGAAGTCTTTTGTGATCACCAAGGCTGCATTTATTTGCACAGTAAAAAATATTGTGAAATATTACGGTTTAAACCAGGGCTGTCCAAACTCGGTCCTGGAGGGCCGGTGTCCTGCAGAGTTTAGCTGCAACTTGCCTCAACACACCTGACTGGAAGTTTCTAGTATGCCTAGTAAGAGCTTGATTAGCTGCTTCAGGTGTGTTTAATGAGGGTTGGAGCTTAACTCTGCAGGACACCGGCCCTCCAGGACAGAGTTTGGACAGCCCTGGTTTAAAAGAACTGTTTTATTTTTCAATATATTGTAAAATGTAATTTATTTCTGTGATCAAAGCTGAATTTTCAGCATCATTACTCCAGTCTTCAGTGTCACGTGATCCTTCAGAAATCATTCTAATATGCTGATTGGCTGCTCAAGAAATGTGAAAATAGAATTTTTCAATCAATTTAATGCATCCTTGCTGAATAAAAATGTATTAATAATAATATTATAAATATTACTAAACTAGTTTAATAGTAAAAATATTCATAGTATTAAAAAATAATACAGCACTATATACCTACGATTAAACACTATGAAATTAAAATCTGACATGAGTGCACATTGATTAGCTTTCATGTCATCTATATGCTAGTGTACTCCTAAAAGTTGACAAAATAAACCTTATGTTTATGCATTTAAATATTACAATTCTTTCTCAGCTGGGAAACCTGTTTATGGTCAAATTTTGGAAATAAAAATGTACAAATGCACTCTAGAATGAGAACGTCCCTGCCCCAACACCACCTGCCACCGACTAATAGCAAGTAGTAAATCATGGTTTATGACCGAGATCAGCCCATCCCGACGCCCTAACATCAACACAAGAAAGAAAACGGCATTTGTCAGACCATTTTATGAGGTCTTTAATCACTAAAGCAATAATAATAACAATATTATGTAATCACAAGCAGCTCCACTGAATAATTACTCATTCATTAGCAGTACTTGTGACATGGAGCTGTAAGGTGAAGTGTCCGTGATTTGTTTTAAACGTACACCAGAGTTACAGCCTATTGATGCTGAGAATGAATATTCAGCTAAGTCTAAATGAAACAAACATCTAAAGCACCGCAGTGCGTTCTTGAACAATCTGAAAGGCATCAACACGTTCGACTGTTTATCCTTCTCCATTTCCCTCTTCCTTCCTCCGTCCGTGGTTTTTCTGATGTGTGATGGCCGGATGGCCTCAATGATCGCTCTTATCTCTGGTGCTGACAGATGATGACAGGAAGCTTTTCCGGGTGGGGCTGCGTTCACACCATTTGACGTCCCGGAGAGGAATTCACACGGGCAGAGTGTTTTTAGGGTGTAGAGTGAAAGTGAGGAGGAGAGAAACTGCCTGTGCTTCTTAGGGTTACGTTGAATGTGCGTAAACTACCGGTTAAACTAGTTTTGTGTGTATGAATGCTTTAAAGGGGTCATATGATGCTGCTAAAAAGAACATTATTGGTGTAATGAAATGTGTTTATGCGGTTTAAGGTTAAAAAAACACATTATTTTCTACATACTGTACATTATTGTTGCTCCTCTATGCCCCGCCTTTCTGAAACGCGTCGATTTTTACAAAGCTCATCGGTCTGAAAAGCGAGGTGTGCTGTGATTGGCCAGCTATCCAGTGCGTTGTGATTGGCCGAATACCTCAAGCATGTGATGGAAATGTTAAGCCCTTACCATACTGTGATGCCCTGTCCGGCCGGAGCGACAAGACAAAACCAGTAAAACCCATTACAAACGAGGCTTTTGTTGCATCCAGTGGGGACATAATTACGGATTATAATGACTTATACTGTCTTCTTACGCATTGCATCGCGCCGCGTAAACATAAAACCACACACAGTGTTGTAAATACAACTTAACCACTGATTTCTAGTTGTGTCCTCTGTTGGAAGGCCAAACAAAGTAGTTTCACTTTCACAATGAAACACAGTGTCTTCACGACATGGCGGCGGCGGCAACAATAAT